GGGTGGACCGCGAGCCAAAAAGCAGGACTCTAAGTTTAGTCCCTCTTAGATAGCAAAATGGCCCATCAGTAAGTTTAGTCACTCTTATACAGTAGTTTTCCGAGTGATTAGAATAGTTTAATTTAGTAGTTTTATTTTCACTGGCCTTAATGATCGTGAAATATTAAAATAATAATTAGGTAGATGCATAGACATTTATTAATTATTAAATAATTAATTCAGGGTCGAAAAGGACGTGAATCTGACAAAATTACAGGAAAGTTGCGGTGTGAACCGTGAACTGTATCAAAACTCCAACGGCTATATTCGCGGTTTGAAAAATATAGCCGTTAACTTCCAAAACTTAGACAAAATCAAATCCCTATATAAAAGCGTAAAATCTCCTCATCACCCAATCAATTCTGCCCTCTCTGTCTCTTTCTCTCTCTGTTCGCGCTGCAGCAAGATAGAGAAAAAGGCTATTTTTCTCAGCAAAGCTCTCAAGTTCTTCGTCTCTCTTTGAGATTACTGATTACTGCTCATCTAACCAATTTCTTTGCAGGGTCATTGATTATTTATTAACTAATTGTTTTTATTTATTTGTTAGAATCTAGTTTCTTGTTTCTTCTTCTATTTTCCCCCCCTAACCATGGACGCAGGATCTTACACATCTGTCTCCTCTGAGAAGATGAGGTCGAGAATGAGATCTCGGGCCCCGCTTCGAGAAGTCGGATCCACTGTTTTCATCCCTCCTCTTCGATCCTCCTCTCTTTCGAATCCGCTGTCGAGACAGAGCAGTGTACGTTTCATCTTTCTTTTCAGCGAATTCTCATTTTCTCTGTATTTGGGATTATGGGTTTTGTTCGTTTCGTGTTTTGGGGGAACTCATGGGTTTTTAGGATTAACAGTAGGACTTTGTTCAGGTTTATCTTGCATCTTTAGTAGCGAGAGAAATTTAAAGAAAGTAGGGATCTTGAGATCTATTCTTTCATTGTTATTCTCCAAGAACTTACTTTTCTATAATTGGGTTTATGAGTTTTGTTCTTTTCAATGTTTTTGGGGGTTTTCCCCCTGAAATTTTAGGATTTTTATCAATAGGGTTTTGTTGGGATATTCATTAGTTTCAGATATTCTTGAAATTTCCCCATTTACTATTCTTAGGTAATTAAATTCTTGAAAGCTTAAAATATTATGTACGTCAGGAATCTAATCTGTTCATTTCTTGATAAAAATTACAGGCTGACAGATTCATACCAGATCGATCTGCTATGGACTTCGACTACGCCCTCTACGCTCTAACAGAATCAAGAAAAGAAAAGGAAAACAGCTCATCAGCAACTGCATCCCCGTCCAAAGAAGCCTACAGAAAACTCCTAGCCGAGACCCTCCTCAACAACCGAACCCGAATCCTAGCCTTCAAGAGCAAACCCCCAACCCCTACTGATGGCTTCTTATCGGGCTCAACATCTGACCCGTTAACCTCCTCCTCTCACCTAACCAAACCGAAACAAAGAAGATACATTTCTCAGACTGCAGAGAGGACATTGGATGCTCCTGATCTTGTTGATGATTATTACCTTAATCTTCTTGATTGGGGAAGTAGCAATGTGCTCTCGATTGCACTTGGAAATACTGTGTATTTGTGGAATGCTTCGAATGGATCGACATCTGAGCTTGTGACAATTGATGAGGATGTTGGTCCTGTGACTAGTGTTAGCTGGGCTCCTGATGGCCAGCATATTGCTGTGGGGCTTAATAATTCTCATATTCAGTTGTGGGATTCGACAAACAGTCGACTGGTTAGTACTCTTTTCTCTTTGTATTTTGCTTTCGATTAGTCTCGGCAAATTCTTTGAGAATTGGTAGATTTAAGTTGTTATTGCTCTGCACTTCAAGTTTGCAAAAAACGGGTTATTTGAAAAGTTCATTTTGTGAGCCTATTTAATTTTCCAATTAACGAGTAATCGCTTGCATCATCTAGGATTTGGATACTTTGTACTGCAATTAGGTAAATAAGAGATCAGTTTTCCGATCATAACTGTTTATTACTTATATCTGGTTATAACTTACTTTTACTCGAAGTGGACATAAAACCAGTCATCTACATTTTAGATAATTATGATTTTGTCAATGTTGTATTAGGAGGTGACTCAAATTTGCAATCATATGGATTTGGGTTCTGTGGAATCCACTTAGGCCATAGCTGTATTAGGAGGTGACTCAAATTTGCAATCATATGGATTTGGGTTCTGTGGAATCCACTTAGGCCATAGCTAATCCTGATTATCCTGAATCATATGGATTTGGGTTCTGTGGAATCCACTTAGGCCATAGCTAATCCTGATTATCCTGCAATTTCAGAAATGAATCACATTCATCAATATTTTATTGGATAGTAATGATTGGAAGAAAAATGTTACTGAAAAGCCAAACTTGCAATTATATGTGGATTTGGATTCCCTCCATTTTATTCAATTAAACTTATTTTGATTTATTGTTTCTGGAATAGACCACTGACAACGGAGTATTTTTTTACTGCAATTTCTACAGCTAAGAACATTGAAAGGAGTCCACAGATCTCGGGTTGGCTCTCTCGCCTGGAACAACAACATCCTAACAACCGGAGGAATGGATGGAAAAATCGTAAACAACGATGTCAGAATCCGATCACACGCCATCCAAACTTACCGAGGACACACCCAGGAAGTCTGCGGCCTTAAATGGTCAGGCTCAGGCCAGCAACTCGCCAGCGGAGGCAATGACAACCTCCTCCACATCTGGGACCTCTCAATGTCATCCTCAACCCCACCTCCAAACCAAAACCAATATGTTCATCGCTTCGAAGATCACATGGCAGCGGTCAAAGCCCTAGCTTGGTGCCCATTTCAAAGCAACTTACTAGCTTCAGGTGGAGGTGGAAGTGATCGATGCATAAAATTTTGGAACACTCACACTGGGGCTTGTTTGAATTCGATTGATACTGGGTCACAGGTTTGCTCGCTGCTTTGGAATAAAAATGAGAGGGAATTGTTGAGCTCCCATGGGTTTACTCAGAATCAATTGACGCTTTGGAAGTATCCTTCGATGGTTAAGATGGCAGAGTTGACTGGGCATACTTCCAGGGTTTTGTTTATGGCTCAGAGTCCTGATGGATGCACTGTCGCGTCGGCTGCTGGAGATGAGACATTGAGATTTTGGAATGTTTTTGGAACTCCTGAAGTTGCGAAGCCTGTGCCTAAGGGGAACTCAGTGCCCTTTAGTAGTTATAATCATATTAGGTAAAAAGAGTTTTACTGAAAGGTGCATGGGGATGGATCGAAATTGGAGGAGTTTTTATGTGATTTAATCACTAGATGAAAGGTAAATTTTAGGTTCATCAATTTGGAGTTTCAGGTTCAATGAAGTTTAGTTTTGCTGAACATTTCATTTGTGTGTTTTGCAGGTCAATGGTAGGAGGCTGCTGCATTCACTGACTGGCTATTTTGTGAGATTTTCTTTTTTGGTTTTTTGCTAGGCATTTAGTACATACGTCTTTAATAGTTTTCTAAGAGATATTTTGATTATTTTCTTATTTACTTCAGTATCTAGAGTGATAACATATAATATTCTCAGTTTTTAACCTTGAATTAGTTTTTAGATTAAAGTACTTCTGTAATCTTTTCAGTGTTCTCATTGTTTTGCAATATATATCTACTAATATACCTTTAATAATATTAAAGGCAACTAAGAGATATTTTAATTATTTTCTTATTTACTTCGGTATCTAGAATGACAACATATAATATTTTCAGTTTTTAAACTTGAATTAGTTTTTAGTTTAAAATACTTCTGTAATCTTGTCAGTGTTCTCATTGTTTTGCAATATATCTCTACTAATATTCCTTTAATATTAAACTTAACTAATTCCAAGAGAAATTATGGATATGTACTTTTCTTATTTGGCTATATATATAGTCTTCTAAATGTAATATATATTTACATGGTTAGTTTTAAAATTACCATTAATTTGAACAATAATCCATTTTCTTTTTCTTCCTAATTTTCGCTTAAAATATTTTGTTTGTTTATTAATAAAAGGAGAGAAGCTATCAAATAAAATTTTCCTTTTTTTTTGTTTTTGTTTGAATTTAAAAAGCAGTTTTCTATATTTTTTGTACATAGAATAGGCTAGGATTTTGTAATAGTTTATGAGACTGAAGATATTTGTGTAAAAAACCAGTGATGTAACTTCTTCATATATAATGGAACAAACTAGCTCTCTCCCGTGGATGTAGGTACACTTACCGAACCACGTAAAAATCCCTTTGTCCTTGGTGTTGATGTGCTTTTCTGGTTGAGAAATCATGTAACTCTATGACTCTTAAAATTTCTGCTGATGGAATGTAAATTCCTGCAATAATCTTTTCAATTAATGTTGTATGTGACAGAGAATTTATGCCTGATGACTGATAATCAAAATGATATGGGCACATCTTAATCTTTCCAAAGAATTATAGGCACATCTTAACCAGAAATGTTTCCAGTAAAATTATACAGCAAAATAGAAATCAACGAGAACATAATTCTAGTAACAACTCTGGACAGCAAAATTGCTTACTGCTAATTAGCTTAAAAACCGATGAAACATTGCAATTCTGTGCAACCCGAGTTTTTTAGTTGAGAAATCTTCTGTCTGAATGCTGCTTCGAACTCTCAAAGGTCTCCTCATAATGATACTAGGAAATTTTCTTGGAAAGGGGGGAAAAACATCTTTCGAAAAAGCAATTGAACCCAGAAATCTAGAGACATGATTTTTCTTTTCTACAAGCTTTAATGCTCGCTCGCATAGACACATTATTATTCTCAGGTTCTCATACTACTTAACTCAGCATATGATCACATAAAATTATTAAATTCCACGAAGAAACTCAGTTTCCTCGTGCGAAATCTAAGAGGAAAAAAGCAAGCCTCAGTGGTACCCAATTGGTGCTGACCACTGCATCAGCTGCTGCCCTTGACAGTGAATATCCTGCAGACACAAAAACAAAATGTAAGCATCCAAACAAACTAATAACGCAAACTGCAGAACTCAGCATCCAAGCCATACCGAGGCAAAATGATTCACATCTCTATGATGAGCCTCATCAGCCCGAATCACAATCACAACATCCCTGAGCCTCGCATCCTTGGGCAACCTCCAATAATCGATGGCAATCGCCGGCGCGGGTCCATTCTCAATAGCCCCAGCGTCAATCTCCTTCAAAAACGCAGTATATGAATAGATGGCCTCCTCTTCTAAATACCCAACGACTCGATGGGCAAACTTTGGAGAGATCATGTAGCCAAGGAAGTACGCGTTGTAGAAAATGCCTTGGACCGTGATGACGAGGAGGCGCTCGTACCATTGTGGCTGGGAAACCTCCATGAAGGTCATTAGGTGCATGCGTTCGTTTTCGGCTTCTTCCATTAGAGCGCGTATCCATCCCCCGCTGTGCTCGAAGCGGCGGAGGGAGCGGAGGTGTAGGAGCATTCCGCCTACCATGCCGGGGACTGCTGCTACTGTTTCGAGCATTACAGCACGGCATCCATACCTTTTCTGTGACAGGGTGAAAATGTTTGTTGTAATAATATTTGACATGGTATCAGAGCTGCTCAAGTTCAAATGCTACTAACCACGAATTATGAAAGCGAATTTAGCCCATAAAATAGGTCATGCTCCCAACATGGGTGGATGCTAAGTAAAAAATATAAGCACATAGTCTTTGTCTTTTCTATTACAGGATAAAAATGATTAGGAGTGATCATGTTTTTACCTCTACTTTATTAGTATTGTCATTCTAGTTTAGGTTGTATTATTATTCTAGTTCAGGTAGAGTTATCTCTCTGTTATTTGTCATGTGAATTTTATGTGATGTTGATAAGTTATCGAGAGAACTTTAGATACATCTCTTGGACTGTAGGCTGCTTTTTCTTGTGCAAGATATAAGTTGCTTTGCGGATGCTAAATGCTTTAGAGTGATTAAGTTTTCTTTAGCCAGGATTTATTGAGTATAATTACAGTTAGATAGATGAGAGAGAATGATTAGTGACTGTAAGTTTTTGATAAAGAAGGTAGTTGTATGAGATTTTTATGATACCAAATACCAGTCTACAAGAAAATTTTGGTGGAGGTAAAATCGGAAAATATAATAGTGGCAGTTCGATAAAAATGAGGACAATGGACAAAAGAAGATAAGATCACAAGAGAGTGAGGCACTCGAGCAGAGTGAGAAGTTGGGAGCTCTACCTTGAATGATAATTTCTAAGATGATATAGTCCATATTTTTTGTTAAAGGACGGAAGTTATTCATCTAACTTGTTCAAACTATAACTTCATCCAACATATTATTGTTAGAAGGAAAAGTTTAATCATCAAATTGTAAGATTTGTAATGACTTAAAAGAAAACCACATGTTGCAAATGAAGTTTTACATTATTGATTTGTAAATCCATTCAAGAATATACACAAAGTACGACAATGGCGAGAAATTTCAGGGTTATAAAAATAGTCATCGGTCCACCAACAATCTACAATATTACATGAATAATTGCAATATAATTCCAAGAAATTATTTCTGCATAAAGTACCTTAAAGAAGATATCGGTAGGCAATCGAAGCAATTTCACCGTCCACAATGCCAATTTATCCATCAATGTGCATGGAGTATGATGCTTCTTCAGATCTATCGACAAATCAGGCTTATATGTATCCGAAGGCTATTCATGTAAAAAAATTAAATTAAATAAATTAGAGAAACCATTTTAAATTAACGATAAAAATGAACTATAAAATTACTAATAATTTGCCTTAAAACAACGCCACTTCCACTCTGATTCGTCATTCTTATTGAGAGGCTTGGTCTGAGTAATCCCCCAATAACTTGCACGCGCACGAACTGCTCCTTCTCTCTTTTCAACCTCCTCCTTTTCCTTGATTGCTTTATTTTCAGTACTACTAAATCTCACCGAAGAGAACCCAGGAGAGCCTGCAATAAGAATTTTCTGAATGACATTGGATTGGCTTAAAGGAGTCGAACGTGCAATCCGAGAAATTATCATCTTTATTTTTTTCTATTCTATTTTTATTTTTGATCGAGTACAAGGGAATTAAGCAAGAAGAAAGAGATTATGTTGGCAGTTAAATGGAGAGAGGAAAAGGGTAGTCCTTGTTTTTAGGGGTTGGGAGTTACAATTAGGAGGGGTTTTAGGGATGATCAACATTGGTGAGGCTCCACATTACTCTCTAATTTTTTCTTGCTCCGCACTTTTTTGTTTTAGTTTTTAACTCTGAATTGATCAAATTGAGACCGAAAGAGTTGGTTGTTGATACTATTTGATGGTTTTTGATGACCATTGATATTGTTGTTGTGCTATAATGTTTTAATACTTTGAAAACGTTATGTCTTAAGCTAGTCCATTGTAGTACCAAAAGGAGCAAAATTGCCTCCCGTCGCGACATTCACTCGGACATTGTTTTAAAAATACCTTGTGTAACTAACCATGCATATTTGCATATATCAAATACAAAGTGAGCTTAAAATTAATTATTAAATATTTTTAGCCCTGAAAGTGATTTTGGAAGTGGCTGAGTTTAAAACTAAATGAGGGTAAAGGTTTTGTTTATAGACAATTAACTCTTTCGATAGTGTGTGAGGTTATATGATTCTGGATGTGGCTGTGATTAAAACTAAATGAGGGTGAAAGTTTGTTTATAGACAAATAACTCTTTTGAAAGTATGTGAGTTTAAACATAAATAGGGATAAAACTTTGAGTTTACAAGGGGAAAAAAAATCCACCTACCGCCGCCGCTACAGCTTGCAATGACATGATATTAGAATGGAAAAAAAAATCAACAAAATAATAATTTAAGCATTTTGTTTAAATTACACCACATGCCTTAATCAATTTGAACAAAAATTACATCAAATTATCACCATACAGTAACTTATAAAATATATCAAATGCTAAAATTAAAAATATGTTAAGTTAATTTTATGTAGTATTTTTAAGTGTAAGAGTGATTTTGAAAGTGATGTGTTTAAAAATAAAAGGAGGTAAAACTTTGGGTTCATAGAGACATTACCCTTTCTAGAAGTGGATGTGTTTGAAAGCAAGTAGGGATAAAACTTTGTTTATAGGCTAAATGTTGTGCGCAGCGAAAATTTCGGCGGCACCTCCGGTGCGCAAGGTGCACAACAAGAGATTAGATCACAACGAAATTCTTGTTTCTCAAAGGAAACAAGAACCGAAAGCCAGATATCTCATCAAAGTGAGATATCAGCTCTTCCTCTCGTCAGCTCTAGGACTGCGCGTCGAGGGAACCTACAAGCTATTACAAATCACGATAAGAACACAAATTTTACGTGGTTCGGCAAATAGCCTACGTTCACGGGACAAGGAGGGGGGAGATCTACTATTAGAGGGAGAGATACAACTAGGGTTTACAATCTCATAATCTAAACCCTCTCAAACAAACTCTCAAATCCCTCTTACAAAATAAACTCTCTCAAAAGGCACAAAAGGACTCCTGCAGCCGCCCAATTTTTCCTCTGCAGCCGTACAAACCTAAGACCAAAGCTCCTTTTCACCTGCGCCTGCTGTCAAAACTCCTCTGCTCAAATCAGCCGGTGCACCCCCTTTTTCTCAGCCTCTGACCTTTTTCTTCCGTAGCCGCAAAAAGAGTTTTGCAGCCAAAGCCTCCTTGCACACTTCCCTAGGTCACCCTAGAAGAGATATTTATAGTGCATATGTGAAACCGGGTGGGCTCTTCTTTGTATCCGCTGGACCAACCAACAAGACTCGTGGGTGTTGAGTCTTCATGCACGTGGGTGGACCCCACTCATCAATCCTACAAATTCACAATTCTTCACCTCGGTGAAGTTTTCCTAAAACTGAGCCGACACCAACTAAATCAAATGTCTCACCTGTTGACTCAATCCATAACAAGTCGAGAACCCAAATGAGAGTGCAAACACTCTCCAAACGTCGGTATCTACTCACCAAATCGATCTCACCCCATCAAAATCAACTAATCCAAACCGGCTGCATCGTAAAGACTGCCTATGTATCCTCTTGCCCAAGGAATCAAGCCTCCCGTAGTTCATCCAATGGCCTCGAAAGGCCTCAACACCGAAAAATGTTCAAAAGTTCCAAACAATGACCAAACTTAACACCTGAAACTACTTTGGTCAACTTATCTGCAGGGTTGTCATTCGTGTGGATCTTCTCCAATATGACGTCTCCTTCATCCAAAACGTCACGAACAAAATGGAATCTGACATCGATATGATTCGTGCGTGCATGATAAACCTGGTTCTTCGCCAAATAGATAGCTGACATGCTATCACAATATACCTGAAGGGTCTCCTGTGCAATCCCCAAGTTCTCCAATAATCCCCGCAACCACAAAGCCTCCTTCACAGCTTCAGTCAACGCCATATACTCTGCCTCCGTAGTAGAGAGAGCCACTGTAGACTGAAGTGTGCATCTCCAACACACCGGTGCTCCTGCTAGTGTAAACACATATCTGCTAGTAGACCGGCGCTGTCCAGATCCCCCGCATAATCAGAATCCACGTAACCAATACAATCCTGCCCGTTCTTCTCATTCTTCTGAAATACCAAACCAACATCCACGGTACCTTTGATATATCGTAGAATCCACTTCACGGCCTCCCAATGACCCTTCCCGGGGTCGTGCATGTACCTAGATACCATGCTCACGGCCTGTGACAAATCTGGCCTTGTACACACTATCGCATACATCAAGCTACCCACAACATTGGCATATGGAACTTTAGACATGTATTCTCGGTCCTCAACTGAAACATGTGACATCTTAGCTGATAGCTTAAAGTGGGGAGCTAATGGAGTACTCACCGTCTTGGCATTGCCATCATAACTGAATTTCTTCAGCATCTTCTGCAAGTAACTCCTCTGTGTCAACTTCAACCTCCCCAAGATCCTTCATCTCAAATTCGGATGATAGCTCATTTTTCAACTTTCTAATAGCTGAAGTATTCCTGGAAGCTATGAGCATATCGTCAACATATAACAACAAATAGATATACTCACCAATAATAGCAAATAGATATACTCACCATTCTGTAGCTTGTGCATGTAAACACACGGGTCATATGGGCTCCTCGTGTACCCTCGGCCAATCATAAAGCCGTCAAATCTCTTGTACCATTATCACGGCGATTGCTTCAATCCGTAAAGAGACTTCTTCAGCTTTCATACCAATTCTTCCTTTCCTGCAGCTTTGAACCCCATAGGTTGTGTCATGTAGATCTCCTCTTCTAAATCTCCATGTAGAAAGGCTGTCTTCACCTCCATCTGGACCAAATCCAAATCCAGCTGTGCCACCAATGCCAATAAAATACGAATCGACGAATGCTTCACAACAGGTGAAAATACCTCGTTGTAATCAACGCCCTCTAGCTGTGCATATCCCTTGGCAACCAATCTGGCTTTGAATCTAATTTCCCTAATAGAAGATCCCTCTTTCTTTGCATACACCCACTTGCATCCAATAACCTTCTTACCCTTCGGTAGCTTTGCAAGTTCCCAAGTGTCGTTCTTATGAAGAGACTGCATCTCCTCCTCCATGGCTTCCCTCCACCTAATCGAATCAGAGCTTGACTCTGCTTCCTTGAATGTAGAAGGAACCAAATCATCAACGACTTCTGCTGATAAAACATATGCAACCATGACATCGTCATATCTAGCTGGCCGACGAATGTTTCTTTTTGGTCTATTAGCTGCAATGGACTCTTGAACATGACCCTGTTCCTGAGTCCCAACATCCACTGTATCCTCTAAATGCCCGGCTGTCATCTCATCTCCTCCCAGTGTCACCTCTGTAGGAGGCTCAATGGATACAATGCTATCTGGAGTGGGTGGAGTCACATCATCCTCCACCTGCTGCGATATCAACTGTCTGGTCTTCCGTCAAATGTGACATTCCTGCCAATAACTATCTTCTTGTCCTGTGGATCCCATAACTTGAAGCCTTTAACTCCATTTCTAAATCCCACAAAGACTGCTTTCATCGCCCTCGGATTCAATTTACCATCATTGATATGGTATTAAGCTGGACACCCAAATATCTGAAGTGACTCATAGTCACTAGTTACCGAACCAGACCAACGCTCCAACGGGGTCTTCCCCTGTATCGCAGTGCACGGCAACCTATTCACGAGATGGCTCGCATAAACCAACGCTTCGGCCCAAAAGGATCTTGACAATTCACTCTGTGTCATCATACATCGTACCTTCTCCAGCAAGGTACGGTTCAACCTTTCAGCCACCCCGTTCTGTTGCGGTGTCTCACGTACTGTGAAGTGTCGTCTAATGCCGTGATCCCGGCAAAACTGCAGAAACGGATCACTCTTATACTCTCCTCCATTGTCCGAACGAAGAGTTTTTACCTTTCTACCTGTCTGCAGCTCCACTTTCTTTTGCCACTCTACAAAAATATCCAGGACCTGATGTTTATGCTTCATCGGGTATACCCAATTCCTCCTGGAATAGTCATCAATGAAAGTGACAAAATAATTGGCCCCACCAAGTGATGTGTGCTTGGAAGGGCCCCAAACATCTGTGTGAATATAGTCCAATATACCTTGGGTATTGTGAATAGCGGTGCCGAATTTCACTCTTGTCTTCTTCCCAAGTATGCAATGTTCACACAGCTCCATCTT